AAGCAAGTAAGAGGAAGGGAGTTCCACAGACGGGAAGTGCGAGACATGAAGCTATTGGAGTAGAAGAGACGGCTACATTTAACCGTTTCAACAGTGAAAGGGTGGGACTGAAATGCCGACCTAGTGGCACTAGCGAAAATAGCTCGTCGGTGCAGTTACCGTGAAAGTATTTGTAGAAAAGACAGAGGGAGGCGACGGCACGTCTGTGAGAGAGCGACTGTAAACGAGATGCCAAACCAGGGCCAAGCACATTGCATATTTGTCTCTGGATTTTGTCGAGGACCCTAAAAAAAACAGCAGGGTTCCAGACTATATATGACAGCAATATTCTATGCAAGGGCGAATGTTTGATTTATAGATTTGATGGATGGTTTCGAGCGAGAAAAAACCTTTTTTGGCGCGACACAAAGAATTAACTTTCCTTGCAGACGATATCAGTCTTGTAATTATGGGTTTAGTTAAGGTAATATCTTTCTCTTCATGGCGATATACTGTGGCTAATTTTTAGGACTTGGTGTGTATCATTTACAATTTACAAAATATGTTTATGTAACAAATTTATTATAATTTTCATTTCAATGAATAAAGATATATCCTCTTCAGGTTTTGATTTAATGTCCAGGCTGGTTCGAAAGTCTTGTCACCCCTACCAAAAAAGTAATAAAAACAATAAAAGAACAAGTAATATAGTAATACAAAAACACATGTACTAGATTCAGTTTATTCACTTTCATTGATGGCGTCACACATCGAGAAGGTCTTATGAACATTATCATTTTCTTGTTAGCTTATTATGTCGGGGTGACAAGACTTTTGGAACACCCTGTATATTGTAACGGAGATTGTCTGTTACATTATTTTTTCAGCAATACAAGACTATTTTATATTATTTGAACACTACAAGTATTTTTGTATTGGGTCTTGGAAACATTCCCAGGGGACTCTCGATTTTAAGTAATTTAATGTGACTAACACAGGGTTAAAATGTTTGCGATGACACAATTGGCTATGAATTCAGATAGATTGGTTGGTTACATTTGCTTAGCGCCAGATCAACTTCTATGGATTATTTAATGCCGAATTTGAACACAATTTTATAGCTTCAACTGCAGATAAAATATAGCGTTGGCCATTTTGCTATAAAAATGTTATTTTACTATAAATAAATATTATTGGTTGGTTGATTTGTTTTAGCGCTAGATTAACTTCTATGGGTTATTTAATGCCGAAATCTAAATAGTTTGAACACAATTTTATAGCTTCAACTGCAGATAAAATATAGTGTTGGCCATTTTGCTATAAAAATGTTATTTTACTATAAATAAATATTATTGGTTGGTTGATTTGTTTTAGCGCTAGATCAACTTTTCTGGGTTATTTAATGCCGAAATCTAAATAGTTTGAACACAATTTTATTGCTTCAACTGCAGTTAAATATAGTGTTGGCCATTTTGCTATAAAAATGTTATTTTACTATAAATAAATATTATTGGTTGGTTGATTTGTTTTAGCGCTAGATCAACTTTTCTGGGTTATTTAATGCCGAAATCTAAATAGTGTGAACACAATTTTATACCTTCAACTGCAGATAAAATATAGTGTTGGCCATTTTGCTATAAAAATGTTATTTTACTATAAATAAATATTATTGGTTGGTTGATTTGTTTTAGCGCTAGATCAACTTTTCTGGGTTATTTAATGCCGAAATCTAAATAATTTGAACGCAGTTGTATGCCTTCATCTACAGATAATATACACAATTAGTTATTTTGCTATAAAATTGTATTGTTCGTTATCAGTCACTCAGTTATGTGCCATACGTGATACACGCTTGGGCGGTCATGTATCTTTTGATACATAACTGAAGAGTTATGTATTCTGCGGTAGGTTGCCATTTTTCCTGCGGTAGACCAGTTGCCATCCAAGTCTATAGAACCCCGTCTATTTACCCATAGCTGGGGAGAAACAAATGGGATTCATACCTTCATGTGATGGATCCGACTGGAATTCGAACTCGGCTCTCCGATTCCTCAATCCGAGGCGTCATGCCTCCATTGTTTGCAATACAATTGTAAAATATATTGTTGGCCATTTTGCTATAAAATAGATCGTTGGTAATATTACTATTAATTGCTATTGTTGGCGTTTGTACTATAAATAGATACTGTTAGTATTTTTTATATAAAAATATATATTTTGATACACTGCAACTGTTTTCCCATAACTGCGACATGCTACATATTGCTTCTTGCATATCAACATCTCTATGGGTTATTTAATATCGAAATCTAAATAGTTTGATCACAGTTTTTTGACTGACTAAAATGTATTGTGGTTGATTTTGATATAAAATATATTGTTGGTGATTCATCGGAACAACACTTAAAACTAAACAAAATGTGAATAACTAGACAGGCTGGGGGTCTTTACAAATGACAAAGATCAAAGACAAAGCTTGCGGAAAAAAGAACGGTTTTTCATCTTGAAAGGATAAATATCACGAACGATTCTTTCTTTGGTTGAACGGAATTTCTGCCTAGGATCAGCGTAATAACTGTGCATCCAGTGAAAAATCCTGCACCCAAAATGATACTTGGATAGGTCTATAATAATTCTGGGGTTTTTCTTTTGTAATAATGTTATAGAGTAGTTTCACAATGGAGGCTTGTATTTCACTATGTCAGTCCTAAAAAGGTTCGACGTACAAAACTTGATATAATAGTTAATCACGCAGCAATCTAGTTGTGGTGGCTGATACTTTAATGTCCGACATCGACAGATTCAACAACTCACTGAGCCCTCTGGCGACTGCTGCTACTACTACTTATTATAGGTGGGAGAGTCTATTAACAATAGAATAGGTATGTTCCAGTATAATAAATAATTACAACCTTCAAATGAGCCCCCTTTTCCAGGGTTTTTGAATTGTCGCTATTTAGTATATTATTGTTAGCTTTTTTTTGTTGTTGTTATTATACGTTCACATCTCCATGTGGCAATTGTTATTGTAAGATTAGCCATTTATATATTAGAAGAATTTGGCATTCATTGAACAAACTGTTAGTATTACTGTCAATTAAAATTTATTTTCTAAAAACAGTTCCATTTACGGAAAATAGATTAAAAAGGAGTTTCTTGCCATATCTTTGGTTTAAGACTGTGTGGAATATCTACATCTTCATAATGTCGTTATTTCCATTTTCTTTATATTCGCTATACATTTTAATTGCTGCGGCTGTTGGAATTCCTCATTGGATTTGTTTTTGTTATTTGCTAAATAATAACAATAACAATTTTATTGCATTTTGCAATGCACACGGACAGAACAATCAAAGCTAAACGCCCAGACATAAAAACAGAATCTGCTATGTTATTGAGATCACAACCTCCTGTTGGCAGATTCTAACATGTCTTTGAAGATCTTAAAAAAAAAAAAAAAAAAAAAAAAAACTATCAAAATACAGGAATTGGAAATCTAAAATATGTGGGACACCAATAATTCCAGTTGGATTAGGAGCCCTCAGATTTATTGGAAAATGTTTCGATGGATACTCTGAAGGCATTACTGGTAGCCTGTGACTTAAATAAATACAAAAAACTTGTACTCAGAAGTCCAGAACACACATTATGAAGAGCTTCATCTATTTATTTATTTATTTATTACAAAAATAATCAGTGTAAAATATCATGAAGCCATTTCCTTGGGACCCGGAAGGAAATATGTATACAGCAGAAACACAAGGAAGAAATAATAATAATAATAATAATAATAATAATAATAATAATAATTACGAGAAAGAAACTGAAAGAAACTGGTATGAACACCACCCAGACCTGGTTACGGAGATAGGACGTTACAATTCTATGGGACAACACAATATTTTTCGGCTTTGTGCCACAATTACTGTATCAGTAAAAAATCTTAGAAAAGAGACCTTTGTTCAAAGACTTTTAATTTTTTTAAGGTTTTTTACAAAAATTTTATACTTGTAAAAAATTTCTTAAACATAACATGGAAAAGGCAAACATCCTATTGGATATTAAACTCTGTCTTTTCTTTTCTTTTTATTTTCTTAAATCACGCACTTCTCTAAGTGTTAATAATAATAATAACAATAATAATAATAATAATAAATGGTATGAACACCACACAGACCCGGTTATGGAAATATGACCTGTTAAACTTCTATGGGCCTACACAATACACACTGACAGAACAATCAAAGCCAACCGGCCAGATATTGTTATTAAAGACCACAAACAAAAAAGGTGCCTCCTTATTGATATGACAGTCCCTGCTGACTGCAATGTATCTTTGAAGATATTCAAAAAGTTGTCAAGATACAAGGACCTTGAAATAGAAATCTCAAAAATGTGGTACATGGGAACATCAACAATCCCTGTTGTAGTTGGAGCCCTTGGACTGGTTGGAAAAGATTCCAGTAGAATAATTGAAGGGATTCCTGTAAGTCCATGCTTTAAGGAGATAAAAAAAATTGTTCTGACAAGTACAGCCCACACTTTACGAAGGGCTTTATCTATGTAATTTTTTTTTTTTTTGTCAGTGCAAAAGTGTCATGATGCCATTTCTAACCTTAGGTCCCCTAGGCGGGACCCGGAAAGAAATGTAAACGCCAGAAATCAAGGGAATAATAATAATAATAATAATAATAATAATAATAATAATAATAATAATAAAAACACTTAGAAAATAGAAAAATATAAACACAGAAACTTAAAAGGAAAGAAAGTGCTTGAAAATGCTCAACAATGTTTCGACAATTCGCCGGACTTCTTCAAATTGGATTTAAAAATTTATACAAGTTAAAAAGATATTTTTAAAAATCTACTAAAAGGACGATAATTCATTATACAAGCGTCGCTTGTTCTGAGAAAAATGGATGTACTGGTAGGCAGGGATTCGCTATAATCGGTTACCTAAAGAAAGAATATATACTAGACAGAAACCAGTGGAGAATGTATTCTTTATTATGGATCACGGTCATAGATTGACGGTCTGTGTGTGCGGAAGCTGGTTGAATAATTCTAAACTGATAAGAAGAGGAAAAGCCGAAAGAAAGACGATAGATTTGGAATGAATGAGATAGATAGATAGATAGATAGATAGATAGATAGATAGATAGATAGATAGATAGATAGATCTGAAGAGAATGTGATAGGTAAATAAAATAGAAAAAAAGATTGATAGAAATAAGAAAAGATAGATGTGAATCGTCTAAGACAGAAGCATTGATATATGTGAATATAGATAGATAGATGTCATTATTTTCTCTTTGTCTTACAAAAATCAAATATACATACATACATATATATAGAGATAGATAAATAGATAGATAGATGTCATCATTTTCTCTTTGTATTACAAAAAATCAAATATATATACATGCATACATACATACATATATATATATATATATATATATATATATATATAGATAGATAGATAGATAGAGAGAGAGAGAGAGAGAGAGAGAGATAGATGTCATTATTTTCTCTTTGTATTACAAAACCAATTATATACATATATATATATATATATATATATATATATATATATATATATATATATATATATATATATATATATATAGATAGATAGATAGATAGATAGATAGATAGATAGATCTGGAGAGAATGTGATATGTAAATGAAATCGACAAAAAGGTTGATAGACAGAAGAATAGATAGATGTGAATCGTCTGAGACAAAAACACTGATATATGTATGTGAAGATAGATAGATAGATAGATAGATAGATAGATATGTTTGAACAAATATAGATATATATTAAACAATTTAGATTAAAAAAAACTAACTAGATAGATATATATAAAAGTACATAGATAGACAGCTAGATAGATAGACATGAAATGACAGACGTAAACAGAATATGAAAAGGCAGAATATGTGACAAGTTCATGATAGATAGATAGATAGATAGATAGATAGATAGATAATGGAAAAACAGAAATGATAGATACAGTCAGAATATGAAAAGAGAGAATACATAAAATGCTGATGAGAGATAGGCTAGAACACACGTTGATTTATATTAAAATATTTAGACAGAATAGGAATATACCTATATATATATATGAAAAGACAGGCTTATATAAACAGATAGATAAAACGATAACACTGATAAAAATATGCATAAAAAAATACTTATATATCAATGAGTATTATATATATATATATATATATATATATATATATATATATATATGACCCGTATGGACGAGATATAAATCTAGGTAACAGTAAATTCTCGCTCGATGCATTCAGATTATTAAATGAAAGACTAAGCTTTTCCCCTTGTCCCCCAAGATTTGATAAAGACATTTAAGCAACTGACCTCAAATCCTTCTTTAGAAGAATACGGAGAAAAACCCATTTCAGAGACAATAATTACACACTTCCTATACTCGAAACATTAAAAGGACTCTACATTCACCAAACAAAACACGGACATCACTATACAGGCATTTGAAATTACAGTAAAAAAATGACATAAAGAAAACCACATTACGTAAGTTGCCATATAACAATATCACTGAGTGGGAACGACACATAGAAATGACCTAATCATTACACAAGCTGACAAAGGTGGTAACACAGTGATCTGGGGAATCAAATAATGCATTAAAGAGGCTAACACTCAATTAGCCGACAAAAACTTTTAAAAAAGCCCACCCACAGAACCTTTTCTGAGTACCAAAAAATAAATAAATAAATAAAAAGCTCGCTAAACATGATGTTGCAAAACAAACTGATTGACAAGGAAACATGCACAACACCCACCCCCAAAACAGCACCGCTGTCCACATCTATCTCTTTCCCAAAATATGCAGAAAAAAACGACAACATAGGAGGGCCGGTCATTTCATCATTTAATTGCCATATGTCCAAAATATTCAAATACGTAGACCATTACATGGAGCTTCTAGCTAAGGAAGTAAAATCCTATATGAAAAAACACAACAGATCTACTAAACAGATTTAATCATAGACAAACACTTCCAGAAAATGCTTCTATAATAACCATGGACGTAAGTTTACTTTATTCAAACATCAAACATATCGAAGAAATAACCGCCCTTAAAGAAGCACTTACAAAAAGAACGAAACACGACCCCCCAAGAAATAATCATAAAACTCATGGAACCTATTCGTACATTGAATAGTTTCTTTTTCAATGGAAAACACTACTTACAAGTAAATGGATGTGCCATGTGTACCGTTTTTAGCTCCATCATATGCCACAGTCTTCATGGGAAAATTTGAGGAGACCCATATTCATCCCTTCGCCGGTAAGGATTGCATATTCTATGCCAGATATATCGATGATATCTTCTTTATATATACGGACAATTAGGAGAAATTTACTGATTTTCTAATGTCCCCAAACACGTTACACAACTCCATTAAGTTCTACGTCTCGCATCTACATCGATAAAAACAAGACTAAAATCGCCGACACCCACAACTATCTAAACTTTAAGTCTTCCCACCCAAAAAACCTCAAGAAGAACCTTCCCTATTCACAAGCACTTAGATTCAGAAGGATATGTTCCAACAATGAAGAACTAAATAAATACATTAAAAATCTCGAGAATCAATTCACAGCACGTGGCTATAAACAACACCTAATCAGGGAACAAATAAATAATGCAATTTCCACACCTACAGAAGACACCGTAATGTATAAAATTAAAAACAAATCAAGGGGCATCTCTCTAGTAACCACTTTCAACACCTCTCTTCCTCCACCATCTAAGATAATGAAAAGTAGCTGGGAAACACTATATCTCAAACTAGACATAAACAATTTGTTTGAGGAACCCGACCTTTTAGCATATCGTATTCCTATGAACATTAAGGAAATTAGAGATAGTAACCAAATTTCAGTTGACACGGTAACTCGTAATAGACAAAAAAAAAAAACAGGAAGATTTTCATAACCATGTAATAACAAAAGAAGTTTATGCTGTAACCACATGAGAGACCAATTCGTTCACTAGACCACTCACTAAATCTACTTTCAAAATCTACCACATCACTAACTGTAAAAGTCATAACATAATTTACCTCTTAGAATGCACCCTCTGCCAGAAACAATATGTGGGGAAATCTGAATGGCCCTTTCACTACAGAATTAATAATTGTCGGAATCGGATCAAGTCGGCTCCCCATGAAAGAGTATTACGTGTAGAACAGCATTTCGCCTAGAAAAGCACGATTTTAAAACCCATGCCGAATTCACTATAACTGAAAAAATAGAAATAGGCAGGAAAAATAAGTTTAGAAAAATATTGGAAGAACATGAAGATGAATAGATTTTGCCTCTCAAAACACTTCGTCCAGATGGGCTTAACCACAAAAGACAGAATTAATATATAACCCCATAAATCAAGCACTACCCACATTTCTCACCCACGCAAAAAGAGATGCTACCAGAAGTGTTGATATCTCACACTTATACACACACTCATACCAATATATAAACTTACATACATTATACTCACTCCCAAAGTATTAAGGCATAACATACACTTAACACACACACACACACACACACATCCCCACTCCGAGCAACAAATAAAACTATCAAAATGACCAAGAAAGGAATTCTGCGACTCATGAATCTCCCCTCCTCTATTTTAAAAACAACTTAAAAGAGGCCGTTTGACCAACACAAGGACTGACCCAAATTAACGATAAAAAAACAAAAACAAATGAAAACTACAGATAAAATTAATTTTCTTAATAAAGAGTCATTCACTCCTGTAATTCAATGCTACTAACAAGTAGAATGTTTTCTCCTAAAACTTATTTTTCTTCTGATGATGGCCATACTGGCCAAAACTAGTCGAAGAACATAATTGAAATATTAAAACAAAGAAAATATTAATAAACAACACAGAGTGTCTGAAAATTTTAAGTTTGTTAATATGTTTATTGTTCAATATATATATATATATATATATATATATATATATGTATGTATGTATGTATGTATTAAAGTAAAGATCCGGTGTTCTTATTAATTATTTTTATTTAAAAAAAAACAGTGCTCAACACAATTCTGCAGAGCATAATATAATAAATTTACTAATTTAAAAATATGGTTCCATCGCTACACAAGAAATACTATGTTTCAAAAACAGAAACGAAAAAATTAAAATTTAATTATAGAATTAAATTAATACCCCTAGTACTGTTTCATTTCCAAAATTCGCTTGAAAATGAAACAGTACTAGGGATTTTAATATAATTCTATAATTAAATTTGATGTTTTTACTTTCTGTTTTTGAAACATGGTAATTCCTGTGTAGCGATGGAACCAAATTTTTTAAATAACATAATTTATAATCTCTCTCTCTCTCTCTCTCTCTCTATATATATATATATATATATATATATATATATATATATATATATCAAAGGAAAGCTTAACACATTAGAAAAAATACGGCTCTTTTTAATATTTTATATCAAAAAAGGCTTACTTGGATTGGCCTTTCCACTTACGGATCTTATATATATATATATATATATATATATATATGTGTGTGTGTGTGTGTGTCTGGGTGGGGTGGGTGTGGGTGGGTGTGCGTGTGTGTGTGTGCGTGTGTATATGTGTATATATATATATATATATATATATATATAGGAATAAAAAGAGATAAGAGAAAAAAACTACTCTTAGCGTTTCGTCCTCTGCCTCTGAGTGATTTTACCAAGGCAATAGATTTATTTTACTGTACATGTTTATATAGAAAGCCGAGGATGTCATTGGTTTATCAAATCTTTTAAATTTGAGAACGTTCGTGAATGTTCATCATGAAGTTGTAAGGTCAGTCAAACAAAGCTTGGTATGTGAAGGAAACAATGTGTCGTAAATCAAAATCTGACAATAAGTAAATTGAACGACTAATATCTTATTTTATAAATGAATATTGTTTAGTTTTAGATTCGATTATTATCGTATAAAATAGACGTGGTACTCCTATGTCTACAACGGCTTTTGCAATAGTTCACACTGACAATCGAACGTCCTACATAACATCCGAATGCCTGCTTCAAACTATTTTTAAACAATGATCATTCTTCTTTCTATTTTTATCCATGGACCCAGTTCGATCGCATTCCCGAAGACGCCACCCGCATCTCTGTGGAAACAAATCAAATTAAAGCAGTTCTTTTTACTTCAGCAAGTGATTTCAGATTGCTACCCTGAAAAACAGAATTTCCATCGATCGAAAACTCTCTAACATCACAACGGCGGAAGAAAACAACTGGATCAT